TCTACTAAGAGTAACTTGGAAGAGTGTAGAATGACATAAGCGATAATTTTAAACACAAATAGAAGAGTAATATTTCAGTGAGTGATTTTTGCAAATATTGATTAAAACAAGAAAAGAAGTAGTAAGTTTAGACGATAAAAATAATTACATAACAATGACTTTATTCAGAAATTAGTGATTTCGATGGTTATGGGAAAGATGAAGGTTTGACATACTTTACTGTATGCATACCGTTGGCTTAAACTTCTGAATCAATTTTAATGCTGCTATGACGAGATATCTTCATATTCTCCCTTAAGAAGACTGATTCAAATTTTTTCAGGAATTTGAAAGAATTCTCATATTAGGCTGGTTATTTATGACGCATGTTTGTTCTCCCTAGCTAACTAGAATGATTAGCTAGCGACAAGTGACAGCATGATACGTTAAAAGTGAATGCATTAGTAGCTTTCCAAATAACGGTCAAATCTGTTTGCAGCAAAATATTATTCGAAAGCTGACAACAAAATCTGCATAACTGAGGGATTTTAAAACATGTTTTGGAGGAATTCCTATTACAATATAAATTATTAGAAATTAGAAATTCAACAGTAAAATATATTACGGGTTTTATAGACGTCTTCAGTTGCATTGTTTGTTCATCTTGTATAATTTTTATGTTGTCACGTCTCTTAGTTGAGTTGCTGCCCTATTGTAACTGTTGAGCATCAATGAAGTGGAAAGTAGGGTCCCATTCTACCTCTAGAGGAAGCTGTTGATTGAGTAGCCATTACTGAAGGTATAAAGCAATTCTTAGAAATTCGAATTTGTATCACCAATAATGAAAGCATCTTCAGTGTATCCTCTTGTAGAAAAGAAGTTTATTGCTTGTTGTTTTCTAAGCTTGCAGAGGTCATAAGCAAAGCGGATGACATCAAAAGATATAGGATACTGAGTGGCAGTATGTCTGTCAGTCACTAGATTTTACTTAAACTGACCCAAATATTCATCAAATATAAAACACATTTGGACTCATCAGTCAAACATTTCAAGAAATACAATTCATAGAAAAGGAAGACGAAAATGACAAAACGCTCTTAGTAGACGTTTTCATCAACAGAAGTAACGATGGGAACTTTCGAAATAACGTGTAGGCAAAAGCTGCTTATACCGATCAGATTTTAAACTACAATATTTACCATCCGAAAATTGAAAGAAAACTAAAAGGAAAGAATTACTATCTCCGCAGTAGAAGAAACACTGACACAGTTACCATGTTTTAGTAAGGGAATTAGCTTACTTTAAACCAAAGACATTTTAGAAACAGCCAAGTGATTACTTCACCCATTTGGTATTAAAGTTACAAATGAGTCAGTCAGATCACTATAAAATTCACTATTCAAGGCGGAAAAGCCATCGCCTAAAGGAAATTAAACAAATGTAATGAAGTGAATAAATCACAAATACACTCTACAACACCATGTTGGTTAGTCAAGGATCCATGAAAATCAGCTGGTAGTATGAAGACGTAACACAATTCTTTATCTCAGTTCATGCAAACAACTACATCTAAGATTTTGACTGAGAATTTTATTATCTCCTATTAAAAAGGTTTATCTGATATGACACAGTAAAGTATCAATAACTGGATAACGTTTTGAGCACAATTTATTCCTCATAATCATATCGGTTTATTCACAGGGTTTCATAATAATTATTATTTTTTCTTCTCATAAAGTGAAAAGACGTCAAAAACACTAATTTGATTTTGATTTTAGGTCCCGTTGTACATTATATTTTCCCTCTGGACAGTCTTGTTTATTTCATTTCCCCATTTACCAATGATATTTGGTAGAGAAATTAAAGTTGGATTTGCCATCTGGTTATGTATTCTTTATTTATTACTCAGTGGTACACTTGTCTGTGCACCAACCGCTACAGAGACTTTATTCGGTCCAGTTAACATGGCTGTAAATTATGGATTAGTCTTCAATGCCTTCGTAAGTGGCTTTTGACAATTATACATATATATGCAAGTATATATATATATATATATTCTCTGTATATTTTAAACACACATTTGAAAAATCAAACATAACAGCTTGAATAGTTTGACCATACATTTTGCTTCCTGAGTGGATATCTTAGGTTTTTGATTGGTTCATGCAAACATTTTCAAGGTGAGAAACTATTTAGTTTGAGCTTTTAAATCACATTAGTCTGTCAGTCACAGCTGAATTCCTAACAGGAATTCAGAAATACCGAACCCTGGTGGGTGCGTACCGATGAAGAGTTCCAAACTAGAATGAAACGGCTATCCAGTACTCCCAGGTTTTCTAATGGTTCTCTAACTGATGGCAGCTGATGATGAAATCTTCCAACCAATCAAACAACATCCCTACAAAACCAATACCTGAAAACATTGGCATCTATTCATAGCACGGTTCAGTAATTTTAACTCCGCTTCAGTTCATAGGATAGCTGAGTCTAGCTAAATGTCTTCACAGGTTAAAATTCATGTTTCACTTCAGCTGCAGCCTCCTTTCCCGGTGTGACTATGCATTTCGTTAAAGATAGGTTTATCAGAATGATTGGTTACAGATATGTACATACAACATATTTTTTTATTCTGACATCTTTAGGTAATTGGTGGTTTATTCGTATCTCTGATATCCATCGTTGTACCACAATTCCATCAATGGGATAATCTATTTTATCTGTGTGCTTCAGTGTGTGTTTTTGGTAAGTTAGGACAGGTATATAAGAGTTTTACGTTTCTTTGATATTTCAACCTTATTTCATGTTAAATTTTATGAATAATTTACAGTAGAATATTAGGCGACATTTTTTTCATTTCTAATTATGGATATGCCTCATTATGTCCTCCCGTTCTAATTGTGGCATTTACATTGCCTCAGACGTACAACCCAGTAGCATTATTGTTATTATTATTCATTGGTTTATTTAAGTAACTCAAACACTTCTCGTAAATCGAAATTCTGCAATCGCTTTAGTGGACGTAACGAAATTTTCTAGTATAATATATGTTCAATGTTGACTTCATGTACAAAGCTTGGGTTATATAACTGAATTTAGCTAAGCTCACGTATTTAGTCTGCGTCATGGTGTTGCGATTTCTACCCACCACAATGTTTCATCTTATCATTCCCCTGAAAAAATCCAGTTCTCTCAAACTAGGAATTACAAGTACTATATTAAGTTTAGCCTAGCTGAGAGCCATAAGTAAGGATTCCTAGGTTTATTCCAGTTTCTAATACTTATTTCAGAAATATTTATTCTATCTGTAATCACAGTTTTCTACACTTTTTCCTTGCTTCCTTGTACATGTTGTATTTGAAACAGAATAGCTGTTAGATACATTTATGATCACACTTATAACATGCGCCGGATTAATGTTCAGGCCCAAGAACTCAAGCAAAATTGCTACGATTCAGTAATAATGCGGTTTACTTTTGTCTACAATAGCTACTAAACACCTGACTGATGTTTATTTCATTCATTTTCTGTATTCACAGTTCAAACAACTACTTCGTGTGCACTTTCATTCTGAGCTCTGCGAACAGGAATTTACAGAATATACGATTAGTATCCATTTGTCTTCTTCAAGGATATTTATGTGTGGTTTGAAGTGTCTCAACCTAATGAAATGACTAATGTATTGTAGTCAAGGGAGTTATATGACTTAGCAGATGAACAATTTCTTAAAGTAGATCGAAACATGGCGAGATAATATGAAGGTCTCAAAAAGAGTTGTAGTTCTTTGTAAAACCATTTCAGAAAGTGAATGCACTAATGTAACGTAATATAGCTGTCTGAATTTTATAAGTCTCGACATGAAGTAACTAGGACTCAGAACAACCTGAAAATAAGATATGACCACAATTCTTACTTAAATATATCGGTACTGTTTCAGCTTTCATTTGTGAAGTGATTTAACCACAGTGGAAACATTCTGCTTGAAAATATATACTGTTTTATTAGGATAAATTAAAATACCTACCAGAATTCAGATAGATAAGTAGCCATCAGTCTCTGAGGACGTAACAGTCTTTGTAATCACAGTTTCTACACTACAATGATGTTCACGCTCATTAACTTATTTAACGAAATTATTTATTTTACTCTAGGTTTGTTGCTGTTGCCATGGATAAATGATCGAAAAATGCCTCAGTATTTCAATCTATATCAACTATGCAGAAAGTTACGACAAAGAAGTTGATGCTGAATCCTTACCTCGTCTATAAACACACAGAGTTGACGACATGTGTTCAGCTGAAATCCAGTCACAACCAATTTTGAAAACTGGGACATGATTTAAATAAATTTTATAACTAAATGACGCTTATTTATAGATATAGCATATTGATAAAGATATCCAGTCATACCTTCCCGTGTTCTCGTATGTTAAGTCTATCTAATAATACTGTATTTAAAACGATCCTAAGACAATATTTGTATTAGCCGTTTTGCTTTACATCATCCAATGCGACTTAATATTGTCTTCATTAGTAATCACTGATGTACCCCTAGTTATGTATGTCGCGATTATACAAAATCAATATTAATTCCATTATTTTCAGTTGCTGTTCTAAAGACTGTAATTCGAACAAGCATTACTAATAAATCATCGTTCTTCCCTATCCACTATTTTAAGACAGCCACTAGACGATTGATGAAATTATTATGTCTGATGTAACGATATCAGCTAAACGATTGTGTGCATAATTTTAAGCTAAGAACCACGATAAAAAATTTAGATTTCATGCCAGTACACAGAAGAGCGTAAACAGCCACTGTTTGAATTTGAAATCGGTTACAAGTCATTTGTTCATTAGATGTATATTATGTTAGTCTACATGTCACCAATCTACAAATATTTCATGATGCAGGTTTCAGATTTCCTAAATTAAAAGCGTTAAAAGTGCGTTTGGTATCAATAGTGATAAAGCTGTTTCTTTGATCAAACATAATTGTATTTTGTTTCTTTGAAACCACAGCGTAAATTAATATGATAGATATTTTTACAAATGGACAGACGAGTTACTTTTACGTTTATTACTGAAAACTAGCAATTAGTTGTACAAATCTTATAGCGTTATATATAGTGCAATTCAGTTTACTGAACTCGTCATCGTTGATTGAATTATTGTAGGAATTCTGAAAGTTCTTTTACATATGAATTGATTTCTCTTTTTCCACTAAAGTTTTACATCATTCCCAACTGGACCTAGTGTTGTCTTTTTAAATGGTGAATTCTTCAGCACACAAGGATCACCTTTACTCTTGTAGTAGTTTTTTACTTCTTTCCACTGTTTTTGATAAAAATCATAGTCTGAGGTATATTCATGCGCCAATAATTTTGAAAAATTTGTAGGATTACATTTCGTTACATCGCTCTGTAAAAAAGAATACAGGTTTGAGCAGAAGATAAGTCGTAAAAACTAAATTGTTAATTTACTTTCAACTACTTGAAATTAGTTACACTATATTCGCCTTACTTCTTGGCAATAGACAAAATCCAGGAAATGTTGGGAGGTTCAATGAATGAATTTCATTGTATTCATGGTTAACAATCAAAATAAATAATAACAGTTAAGTTTACAGGGTAAATCATATAAGAAGACGACATAAGTTTAGAGAATATAAATCTGAGGCACTGCCATCTCTGATACTCAGCAGGATTCAAGATTCCTTTGTTTGTAACATGACTATGTTCAAATGCCTCTTATATGTGATTCCTTTAAAGCATTAAGCTTCGAGAACCTATAATGAAGACTTTAGCCTTTTCAGATTAATTTCCCTCGTCACCAACAGCCAACGAAACTTCATTTCCTCTTAAACCTGGATTAACGGGTTAAGTGTACAGAAATGAATTTGGCAACTTTTAGATGGTATACTTCACCATCTCAAAGAAACTGTGTACAGTTTAGGTGACTTGTGCTTTTACTGATTCCATGTTTGATTATGGATATATGTGAATGGGTTTGATTCACCATTAACAATATTAATAGATGAGTTAGAGGATTCAGAGAATGGGGAAGATCAAATAAGTCCAATGTATTCAGAACATTTTGATGTTTTCCTCACTGGAATTCTACTGCTCCAAGAATTTATAAGCATCATCTAGTAATAAAAATGTGACTACATTCACTCATTTACATGGGAAATGTGTCTGAAATAATTCATACATCACAGAGACGACAAATTCAATATATCAGTGGTTGTTTATTTATATAAACATAGAAATAGATAATAAAAAGCAAACACAGACTGCTTGAAATGCAATGAATTTACTTCAGCGAAACGAGGTTATCAACTGATTGAAACGACCGTTGTTTATGTTTGGCCACCATTGTCTTCAGCATCAATGCTGGTAGAAGGTCAAATCAAGGGATGGCTGGTACAAGTGCTTTCAGTTATCACTAGTCTAGTAGACGAACAAAGTTGTAGTTCCGAGATTATAAAACAGTTTGAAGTGAATCAAAGTAGTACAGATAGATTTACAATCTATATTGCTTGAAGTTAGTAGTCTATTTCCTTCTATATTTAATTTTACTCATTTGTCTCAATATTCTTTTAGCTTTTCATGATTGCTTATCTATATATTCGCAAATTAGACCGTTGCGCTTTTATGCAGGATTCAATATTCGCCTTTTTCTTCTTTAACTATTGGCAAAAAAAATATTCGTCAAATATAAAATATCTCATTCTGAGCTGTAAATCTTCTGTATTACTTTATAATTTACAGTGAATAATTGCGGGTTTATGCTATTGCAGAAAATGTAATTTATTTATTAAAAGTGATATAAGAATTGGTTAACAGTTCCATTTGATTACCTATATCCTAGCTTATAGATATTTTCGATCCTTTCGGTCTGGGTTATATCTCTAAATGTAGTTTTTCATGAGCACCAGTATGCAGGTTACTTTTGCAGAAAGTTGTAAAACACCTAGAATATAGTTCTAAAGAACACTGATGATAAACTTTCAACACTACACTATATTCGTATTAGCTTTCATTTGATTAAACGCTACATACCTTTGGGAATACTATTGGCAGAGCTGGATCTCTGACATATTTAGCTATTGATATTTTAGTTGGCTTTCTGTTGTACTCAGCGTAGCCAATCCTGTGTGATGGCAGTTTGCAGCATTTTTTCAGTTTCTTTGGTTTTTGTAGAGGTGGTGGTGTACTGCTGACAATCGGTTTAGTTATTTCTTTCTTCTTCGTTGGGCATACAGAAATATCGGACATATAGAATGGTACTTTGAATACATGTTTTGACTCTTCCTTCCTATTTTGTTTATCTTCCAATGCGTTATCTTCTAAATAATACCATTCACATCTACAATAAGGTGTAGGTGGCCCACGATTTCTTTCATTTTCTTTGAAACATAATAAATCTGGTCTCCCACCCATTTTAGATAATTGAACATAGGGTGAGTCAGTTGACTTGAAATACATAGTATGCTTTTTTTCAGGATATGCATCTTCAGGCATAAAACCAATACTTGGAATCTGAGATATTGGTGGAGCCGGTTGTGGTGCTTTATTCTTTCTTAGTGGTACAACATGACACATCCAACCAACATCCTTTAAATTAGTTTGCATGCTCATTTACACCTTAATACATAATAACAGAAAGGAGAATATCACAAACCACATTTTACTAACCAAAATTAATCAGGATGAATGTTTCTATAAATTCATATTATTTAAATGAAGTCTTTTACTATGAAACAATATTTAACCTTATGGTTAGTTTTCGAGTATATTGCAGTTATTAATCAAAAGCAATGAGACTCGATTTCTTATTCAGAAACAAGGTAATTTCTATTTATTTTTTTAAATTTTTTTATTTTGATTATAGCTTGATTCCACACCGTATTTTTGGTACAAGTATGACATTTCCAGCATGTGATACCGGTAGCCCAAATTTTGCAGGCCGACCATTGATATCTGGTGTGCGTCGGCAGGGGATCGAACCCCGGACCATTTGCATGGTCGGCGAGAGTCCTAACCGCTGTGCCACCGACGCACAAATGTAATAAGTTCATTCGGAATAACATCTTGACAACTTTCCAGTAGTCAAATTATATAAGAAACCACTTTTAAAATTGAAATAATAAAAGCCATCGCTTATTAAAACCACTAGGACGAACTAACCACTATTGTGGCACATAAAATAATTTATACTGCTTTTAAGTATACTTTATTTTAAAAATTACGTTTCGCTGACGTTGTTCATAAACTAGCGCAAAAGTGCGAAATAAATTCCAAGGTATATGTCTCTTGAGAAACATTTCATTACGAACCAATACCAGAGAAATAAACTTATGGAAACTCAGACTTTGTAGTCATATGTTCCGCTAAATTGCCAATTTATAAGGTTTCAAAATCATGGATCGCTAGATTCCAACTCACTAGTTGAACTGTAATGTTTTTCTCCCTTTGCTTGTTCTCAGATTTGTCCTGGGTATGTTTTTGATAGAGAACTGATAAATAGTCATGAGGTGAAACAAAGTAGCTGCTTAAAGCTTTATGGTTTTTAATTACTTTTCCAGTTAGTACCAGTTCGTGAAGAAATCTAAATTAAAGCCAAACACACGTACAAACTTTATTTACTTTTTTACTAAATATGCCCTAAGACTCTAGTCCAGGGTACACAGAATATTGCACCTTTAAAGTTCTTTTACAACTTATAATTTACATTTCTGAGTCTTCTGTTTCACTATCTTCTGTCTACTATGCAGATGTACGAACTTTGATTATTACCCAGTAATGCTAAGTAGTATGTTAGTAACATCTATCATTCAAGTCTAGTTGTGGATATTTCAGATGAAATGCGAAACCCAGATAATTGTTTCAGTCACTAGGGCGAACACAGACATTCTGAATGATTTCATATGCAAGTTCAACACTTCATGATAACAGTTGTTCGTTATAAACTTTGAAACTTATAGTTCACCTACTATAAAAACTACTACTACTACTACTACTATAAAAACACTAGTCGTATTGCCCATCTAATTGTTATGGATTAATAACACTCGTACTATTATTTCTCAATGTACATTATCTCATATTGAATTTTATTCCAATATCTAATCGATTCCACATATGTATATAAATGAAGGAAAGAAGTTGTGTGAGTAACTTGATATGATTATGAGCAATAGTTTGTGCTCGAAACGTCATCAGTTAATATAACTGTACAACACTGTGTGATTTATCAAAATAAAATCTTAACCATTATAGAGTTATGCTCTACCACAGTGCCCAAGTTTTATACTTATATCAATAGTTCACCTACTACCTGTCATTTGGTTATTTCCCTGCAGTCTTCACTGCCTTTCATTGAAGAATGCCATTAAAAGCCACATTTGATAATAATAATAATTTGTTTTATTCCGAAACTTTACTTGTGATACAGAATGGAATTCTCAGCATTTCACTACATTATTGCATCCAGTTTGTACATTAACAATAAATAAAATTCTGCATAAATTACGAGGAGTCTCAGTTAGTTTTGACAACAACTTATTAGCATATCGGTAGCAGAGCCAAAAGTGAACAGAATGTTTGAAGGTGTTAGAAAAGTAGATGCTAGCATCTTTACCGGCGTAAGCGGTAACAAAAAAGGTCGAGATATACACAGTGTAAAAGCACGAAGAAGAATGTTTCAAGTAGGGAAGAGAGAAACAAAACAGCACATAGCAAAAAAAGGGAGAGAAAAGGAAAAGAAAGAAAGAAAACGTTGTACCTATAAATGATATGAGTTGGAAAGACGAGATCCAATTGTTCTACTGACTATTTAATAAGTTATAAGTCTCACACCTAATGCTTTCTTTATCGCACAAAACACGAGCTAAATAGGGTATGGTTGAGTTTTTATACTTGCTAGTGCGAGCATTTAGTTTTCTATATAGGCTTCTGGTCCTGCCTGATGAGATACAAGGGGAGAGTTGTGAATGAAGAGGGTGGTGTGAGTTAGAATGGATTTAGCCCATTTTTCACATGAGTTCAAGTGCCTGTCAACCAGAATATTAACAAGCTGGTTAAGTGGCACGTTGCTTACCCTGCTGACAACCTTTAACATCCTACGTAATAAGATATAGTCCTTCTTCAGTAGCCTGAAAAAACTGAGGGAGAACAATAGAGAATAATTGGCAGGATGCGAGAATTAACGAATCGTAAGAGTAAGGGTTGAATTATTCCAGAATGTCTTAACTTCTTGATATAGAAGGTAGGACAGAATATTTTCTTAGAAATCATCAAGATATGAGAAGACCAGGATAGATCAGCAGATAGAATGACACCAAGATATTTAATTTCCGACTTGGTCTCTATTTCAGTGTCATCTATGTTGCACACATCGTGAGTGCTAACCAGTTTGTTTAGGTCAGATTTATGCCTAAAGGTGAAATTGACTGCTTGACATTTAGAGGCATTTAAGTCAAGACCGGTTTCCTTGGACCACTGGCTGATTTCTGATAAAAAGCCATTTAGTTTGGAGTAGTCACTTTGACACTTTACAGGCAAAGATACAGTCAGATCGCCAGCATATTTAACAAAATTGATGTCATTTGAAGACATTTTGAGATATGTGCCGATATACAAGAGTTTGAGAAGTACTTACTTCTTTACTGTCCTTCTGGTGCACACAGGTTTTAGGTTTGCCATTTAGTCCAGAACTTCAAAATATTTTACTTTGACCGACTGTAAAAATGATTTATCACCAATCACTTTTTACTACTTTATCAGTACTTATTTCACTCTGTCGCGTAACACTCATGAGGAATTATGAAGCTTTTTCTAAAAAGGTGTCAACCAGGAGTTTCTGAATCCACTCATTCTTGTTTTCTTTAGGTGTATATAAACAAGTGTGGACGCTAAAACCAATCCGTTTGAAATCATGATAATAGTTGCACCATTATTTACTTTTTTCTGTGGTACAGATTTCATTGTGTTGTACGACAAAGTGTTTATATTCTTATGACCGAGACTTTCACATTGTTGTCAAACCTAAATTGTCAGTCATATAGTATACCACTGCTTTGTACGCATGCATAAAGACTTTGAAATTCTACATATGACAAAGACTGAGAACATATGTGGTATTGTGAATTATATTATGTCAACGAAATTCCATTTCAAAGATCCTTATGCATTCAACTTACATCCCTACATGACTAGGAGAAACTCCTAGATAACTATCAAACATCTTGTTCATCTTTTCCAACGAGCATTCACATCTTTATCAATAGATTTACCTTTCTTACCTAAACTTTTGAGTCTAACCTGTCCATTTTGACCACGCTGTAGTAATAAAGACGGACATAATCTGTCAGCTTCAGAGGCCATATTTCACAGACGTACTCAAGACTTGGTTCATCCCTGCAAAAGACAGTCACCGTTATATTGACAGCCGGATTTCTCCATTGCTATAGACGACACATGATAGATACAGGGTGTCTTTTATTTATGGACCAAGATTTTATAAGTGACTAGACTATAATAACGGAAAGCCGTGTAGAGTTGGTACAGTTTCTCTAAAAAGTTGTCGGCACATTTGCTTATTTCACTCATAAATCTTAAACTAAGAGTCGGTGCAGACGATTTTCCATCAAGGATTCATGTATTTCTAAGGCATGAAAACAAGCATAGTCAGGGTGGGTTTGTGTGAGGTAAGATATGTCTTGCATAAGAAACTCACAGTTGTTTCTTTATTGTGGAAAACCTCCAGACCTGTGGTGACACCTGCTTTGCTCTTTTAAGGAATAAACATTACCACTTCACTTGGATAACATCCTATGTGACAATACTAAGCAGTGCATAAATAGGTTTTTATTTAGCCTTTTAAGCTAATAATCATTGCCTCCTGTTAATCTTGAAGTCAGTCTGTATTCATACGTTAGACTGGAAAAAGTAAAAAAGTTCATTATGATTTGGGAGTAGAATTATTAATTTATCTTACACAAGCTGAAAAGAAACAAGGGACGGTATATCCTACTGACAAAACAGCATAAATTGGCTATGCAGAAATCAGGAAAGTGCTAACAGTCTACTTTATACTTCAACACGTGAGATCAGTTTAAAAGAATTAAACTAAGCCGTTTACAACTTTCGTTGCTGTATCTGATGAACCTATTTGTCTCCGAATTTTTCGGCTTCCCCTTGTATAAGACGACTTCGCAAAATTTCATGTACCATACTGTGTTAAAATGTTTGGCATATAATGAATATTTTCCTGGTGTAGGAGTCCTGAATGTGAAATAATCTTCGCTGGTAATAAATAATTGGTTGTCTGGTGACCTTGGTTTTTTCATCTGCACACAGAAATGAATGCTGAAAATTCCACACTGTACCATTAGTACTGTTTCTGGAATAAAGCAAATTATTATTATTGTTATTATTATTATTAGAAGGAGGTGATCAGAACATTTTGTGCAATTCTCATGTTTGAAAATTCTTGAAGAGGTAAACAACGGAAGAGGCCAGCGAAAGAAGAGTTGGATAATAATTCAAGTGAGGTCTGATGAACGCTTCTTCTTACCACTAGAAGATAATTTTATTTGGCAAAGTGGTGCTGTCAGAAAATAAATCAAATCTGCCAATTCACGAATAAAATTATCATTGGTGTATAAGTTAATTTAGCAAACATAATGGTAACCATTTTCTCTACACTTAAAGCGTCCTAGGAATACTGTGTGTTTTAAGAAGGCAGATGATTAGTTACTTAGTTTGGCTTGACTGTTGTATTATTCCCTTTTTAGCAATATTTTAACTGATGTTCGTTTTTATTTTCCGTTGTCCGAATAATTGCTATTTCAAGTTCAGTTGAGGCTTTCTGAAATAATCTCACTAACAATGATTTGTATTTAAAACTTCATGCAGTTTCATTTCGTCAGACTGAAAGCTAAGTAGTCTCTCCATTTTAAAACTAAATTCACAACACATTCTCTTTGAATAATATGTTGGGGTGCTTTCATTTTGTCCCTGGCCATATTTAAATTCTTCTGCAAACAAGAGGGTTGACAACTTGAAAGCCGCAACAGTAAGAGTGTTCAGAAAATCTCTTACTGAGGAAATGCGTTTAAGGAGAGTTGGTCAGTTTTTCTATACAGGTTTCTGTCTTATACTATGCTCTCTAAAACAAGAGGTTGGTTGTTTTCTCATGACAGTGATAAAGCTTTTTGAACAGAATGTTGTAAGAAAATTTGTGGAAAGACTCATATTGTAGCGTGTGCTACTGATAAGATTTATCAGTTGTCTATTAAGAGACGTCCATTGGCATAAAAACATCCAGTAGCAGGGAAATAGAAATGTTGTCAGGGAAAGCAAATAATACGGCGTTGCTGAGATACATGGGAGACGTGAAGGGAAACACTATATGAGGGTCATAAGCACCACAACACGGAATATCTTTGCAAATGGTGCGTTGAAGATAAAGCGTACATAATTTCGCTATGCAGAAATACCAAATTGCAAATAAACATTCCCTTACCAAGTCTTTCGTCTTCTACGGTTACAATATAGGTTTAAAAAGTAAAGTAAACTCTTTTTACACCGATACTTATCTTTTTTATTTTTATTTTTGATTACAGCTTGATGCCACACCGTATTTTCAGTACATGTATGGAATTTTCAGCATGGATATCGGTAGCCCAAATTTTGCAGGCCGACCATAAATATTGGGCGTGTGTCGGCAGGGGATCGAACCTCAAACCATGTACATGGTCGGCAAGAGTCCTAACCACTGTGCCACCGACGCACTTACATTCGATCGCCATTATATTTCTGTAGCACTACAGCCTTAAAGCCTTTTGATCCATATGAGTAATTATATTCCCAATAAAATAATTCGTACATTATCTGTCTTTAGGATTTTCAGTACTACACAGTTCCCTTACAGTATCCAATAATAGTGTCTATTCATTCTTCAGCAGCATAAATCAAAGAAGATGGAAATTTATTTAAGAATTAAAGTAGACTGCAGCCATACTCGTCTTAACTGTCTGCTTAAGTGATTATTTATTGGGTTTTTTGATCAGGTATTGCCTCGTGATCATGTCCTATTCTCAACATTATGAAGGTCATGTCCCTTGTCTAGCATTTCTCTGGCAGTTTTTCAGTGGATCTATAATTACGATGTATGTTACACTTAAGATTTAGACGATTGTGCAAACTTTTTCCGAATACGCTTGGCTTACTTCGTTCAGCCGCTATGTTTAAAATTTAAGTAAATTTGTGTAGTATTTGGGTAAAGTCTTAAGTCTCTCTAAGGAAATAAAATACATCGGGAAAGCTAGCGGCCTCTTTTTAACTATCAGCTTGGTATGGAAGACATAATTAGCTTTATGGCAGATGTAACGACTGTTAAAACCTATCCACTGAACTCCTCTTTTCCTCATATGGGCCAAAAACTTGTTCCATCGATGATAACAGGTTGAAGTTCACTTCTCACTTTCAAGATTAAAATTGCATGATTTTTGTTACCGCGGTTAGTTCAAAATCTGTTGTGCATTCTAAAGTTTTGCCTGTTATAGATCTTATACATAATTCGCCTAGAACTAGTGTTACTTCAACTTTGATCATAACTTTATTGAGTTAGAGGTGATAAATATTGTTATGCCCAAATTACCTTTAGTAGTACGTTCTGAAGTGAATTGTCTCTTAACGGAAATTTCGAGCTCATCACCGCACTGTACAGATTAGTTGTGGTATTGCAAATACATATGTCAAAAGCCTTTTGCATTGTTGCTTAGTGAAACGCGTGTTAGAACACTTTTACATAAATAATGTACTCGTTTTTTACACATTATTATGTCAAAGATTGCAAACTTTTTTCTATACACACGATATTATTATATGATGCTGGTTTTTGTAAAGTGCTTTCTGATATGTATATCTTTCCACACTCTTTAATATTTCTGCAAATAATATATGCACATTAACTTCCACTGATATAAGCGGTTAGTGGCAGTCGGCTGGAGGTTCTAGTCCTAGGTTTTTTGTTTGCTGACGCCCGTCATCAATATGTACCTATGATCTCGAAGAAACTGATGCTGCTCCGGAGACACAAATTTGCGGCATCCATTACACTTCTCACACTCGTCTGATGTTGCACTAAAGATGTAACTGCAAAAAGATGACTTGTAAGTGTATAAGATTTTGTCTTCGAGATAAAACTCTTAAGTTCCGATGAAAATGTAGAAAATACAGCAAATTTGTTGAGTTTTTGGTTGGTACTTTTTATCCTCCAGCATTTCTCAAATAGCCTGACTTAGTGGTACACTAGCAAATACAACCCCAGGAATAAGACATCTAAGCTTCAGCACGTAGTTAAGAGTAGAAATTTAGATTTGATAGCAGCCACTGCAAAGCTCTCACTTTTGAGTTTAGAAATTCTTTAGATGGCAATTGGCTAGGTTTATTAGGACACACACCTGGGCGCCGCAGGAAAGTGTAACTTGATAGGGGAATAATTTTATTTCATAAGGAAAAACAGTTTTTTTGTTCAGAGAAGAAACATCTTCTTTCGAAGACTTCATTTTCAGGCTGTACAGTCGTATTTATATTATGGAAAAAGGCATTAAGTGGCACTAGAAATTGGTCATTCACTATAAATATGATAAAAAAGATAATTAAAATGATGTATTAAGGGGTTAGAGTTGAAAAGGATGAATTACAAAACTTTTGAAGATTATTACATAACTGATCTGGTATAAAGATTTTAAAATTATACGTCAAGTCGTTTAAAAAATAACAGTGTGATGACGATAAAAATCCTAAGTCTCAGACACAGGACCTGCTTCCGACGTCTAGTGAAGACCTAGAACAGTTCAAGTCTACCATACTGCATTGCTATTATAAGTACATAAAAGTGCAATGCAAACAACGACAAATAATACCAAAAGAGCATAAAAGACAATTGAATGAACTGTTGAATAACAGTGACATAATTCTAATCCTTTCAGAAAAAGAATCGGGTATAGTTATTTTAGATCGTGAGGATTATATTGACAAATTATGTACTACTCTTAACGACGAAGAAAAATTTGTAAAATCAACTGACCAGAAAGGTATAACGGAGGGTGTTGAGAATGAATTGTCAAAAACTTTGAAGAGGTTGAAGGACGAATCCATTATTACTTCCTATACGTATGAAAATCTCAAGCCGTCTGGTTCAATTATCCCTTGTTTATATGGTCTTCCTAGGGTGCATAAAGATGGTGTCTCTGTGCGGCCTATATTGGAAATGCTGAACTCCCCTGTTCATTTTACGGACAAATGGCTAGCTGAAATCCTTGAACCAGTAAGGTCAAATCTATATAAACATCGTCTTTTGGACACTTTTGACTTCGTCAGCTGCGTTGATGAATTCAGTGTAACTGGTAGGCATATGATCTCATTAGACGTTCGCTCTTTATATACAGATGTACCGTTAGTAGAAACTATTTGTTATCTATGTGATTACATCGACCTAAAGTGTATAAACACTGTAGTACTAGCTAACTACCTGAAGCAGCTTTCACTTTTACTTATGTACCCCTTATGTGCAGTTTAGATTTAGCAGTGTCATTTATAATCAGAGGGACAGAGTCTCCACAGAGTCTTCATTAGGACCTTTTCTAGCAGATGCTTTATGGCGAGCTTAGAGAGTGGTCCAATGAAATAAAAGATCCCAAGCTTGTATATGCATAAACGACATATCGATAATACCCTCATTATTTGTAATGATAACTGTTCAACTGTCGAGCTTCACGAAAAATTTATTGGTTCTCACTCATCGATGACTATCACTATCGAAGAAGAATCAAATTCCGCATTTCACTACTTGGGTGTGATGTCAAATAGAATAGAGGACGGCACGTTAACAAGGTCAATTTATTGAAAGCCAACATTTACAAAGCAGTACACTGGATTTAAGATTTACCAGGAAGGGATTAACACACGCTCCAAGCCTTCTATCTCCAACTTATAAATCTAAAATCTAGAAGCCTACATGGCAGCTAAAGCGCGAAACGAATGTTGGCACAGGTGAAACACAAGAAAATAGGAGATATGGAGTTTTGTCGGAAGTGGCTGATGTATAGAAGTGGAGCAATTCAAATGAGTGCATCTTCTCAATGTGCTATACTCCAAAATGGCGAATATATTCCTTATTAGCAAAAACACAGTAGTGACACTCAAATGATCTGTTAAGTTGTGAGGAAGACTATTGAAGATTTGATAAACTGTAAACGAAAACAAGAGATTCACCTTACCTCATAGATATCTATTCTTCTTAAGGTTACAGTGTTTCCAAAGTTGAGTTGACACGCCAACTGTCGTCATGGAGCTTATTCAATATCCAATATCCCGAGGTCAAGACTAGATAAATTTGTTATGTACTTATCATTTACCTATGAATCTGCATTGTTTTCTGGATTCCAGTAAAGTGTGGTTGAACTCTGACTGTTTGGGTTCACTAATGCTGCAGACGTCAGTATGAGTACAGAAGTTTTAAGAATGTAGGAAAAACCCACTATATTGACCAGTTGCAGGCCAACCTTCAATTGACGCTCGAAATTTACTATATGGGTTGTACTATGTAAGCCGCTTCTACCTCTACATATAACTCTACCGTTACGATTTCACTATGTATATTTTGGGCTGGACTTATACGGCATGTTGGTTGAAATTTCTCTCAACAAATTTGTTTTGTCAATAATTTTTAATAAAATTTTGTTATATGTTTTCTGGATTGATAGGAATTCTCATTTCCTGGCTAGTTATGTTGGTGTCCGCGTCATTTAATCTGACTGCGACACACTTAGCATATTGGCTGTAATGATTAGTGTTTCATGCTGAATGCGTCAAAACCTCTCTACAATGAAGATGGGATAGTTGGGGGGTAATGTCATCTACACAAATAGTTTATATCTTGTAGAAACTGCAGCTTTCGACATAGTGTCATTCAATGAAGATTACGTCAAAATGTGGCTATTTTCGTGTGAAGAACAGTACTATTTTACAAAAGAATGCTATCAGTACATGGGAATCACCTATAAATGCCAACAGAACGTAAAACCAATGTGTAAACGAACGGCTGCGGAACTGCAATCCAAAATAACCTACTAACATGGACGAAAATGACCTTTGAGCGTCTCACTCCATCAGTGACCTTGAGCATGCGGGATAATTTCAGCCTATATTTTGTTGTACTCAAAAAGAAAACCTATGTGAATACGCCTACTACACATATGAGAATAAACACGTTGTTGACACCTATAAACTGGCGTCCGTCGCGTAAAGGCAAATGAGAATCAATTATTATCTTTGCCAGGAACTGTAGCCCGAATGAAGGGCAGAGAGTTTCTCATGAGAGTATGCTCTGCACGGAGGAAGGAAACGATTGTGATATCGATAAGATCACTTTTGGAAGCTTAGCAATTCCTGATCTTTATACACGATCTTCCTAGCAACTTAAGCCCTCAGTCACCTCCATTGGCAAACCATACAATCTTGTGGAGGCCCTGAATAACACTGAAGATTCCATTAGGCTGCAAAAGGACTTGACCGATCCGTAGGAATGCACCACGGAAAACGGATGAGTTTCCAACACAAACATCGAGATATTTTCATCCATACACTAGAAATACAAGGGTTCTTGTGCTGGCTATATGAAAGCGGATTCTCAAATACTGCGAAAGTGTGCGATTTTGGTAACCAACGCTTTTACCAAAATAACTCCAAAATCACCGATCGATAATGCATATTATTACAGGTGGAATTAATGTGGTTCGGACATTTATTCCGAAAGCGCGCTGGTGGGAAAGTGGAGCAAGGAAATTTACTCAAACGAACAGAAGAACATCCATCATTCACTGTTGTTCAATAGACGGACAGAGTCTTATAAATCATAAAGAATACATAGCCCATACTCTGGTCCTCCCTTTGAACTTAGTAATCACTAACAGCCTCTGACTGACCGTAGCGTCCTTAGTTCGTGAGGCCCTACATGGCGTAGATGCGCAGGGCATCAAAGAAGTTCTCCTACTTAATTGAATCCAGACCCTTTCGCTGGCTGGATAAAGATAGTTGAGTTTTTAAAGAAAAAGGGCGCAACCTTCAGTTGTAGTATGATTGCACATCTATGTGCTCCCATCACAACTCGTTAATATTTGCGGTCTTCTTAAAACTATGGCTACCAAAATTTTCCATCATTTGTATTGCATCTGATTACTTGGATTCAACTAGATATGATTATGAGCAATAGTTTGTGCTCGAAACGTCATCAGTTAATATAACTGTACAACACTGTGTGATTTATCAAAATAAAATCTTAACCAATATGGAGTTATACTCTACCACAGTGCCCATGTTTTATACTTATACTTGGATTCATTTTGTTTTAATTATTCAATTTTGTGTCCAAATGGTATTACTTATACTCGCGATTATTGTAAATGTTTTCAACCTGATGTTTTTTACGAGTATATAATAACCTTAAGAAAAAGCATCACGGTAGGTGGCAAAGATCCTTTAAATGTTATCCAATGCATCAGGTGACTGTTCCTGTGATTATGAGCACAAATTGCAGGTCACTAACGGACAAGATTAATCAATTGGATGCTTTATTATACTCAAATATTTATCGTAATACATGTGTAATAACGCTTCAAGAAACTTGGCTACACGATGATGATAATTTAGTCTTACTGAATGGTTTCAATATGTACAGACAGGACCGAAGTAGTTCAGGAAAGAAGCGAGGTGGTGGTGTTGCTACTTTCATCAATTCTCATTGGCCTGTTGCCAACAACGTCTGTTTTTTAAAATCTCAAATGATAATATTAACTGGTTATTTTTCCTTCACGTTCCCCAGTGGAACATAGGGCTTCAAGCTTGTGGCTTGAAGTTTCTGTAGCGGTGTGTTTATTTTACAGAATGGGGTTGCTAGCCTCATGCACAACTTTTCCTCTTTACCAGCATTATTTCTGGCCTAGCGAGGTAAAGGAGTGCGTCGGCCGGGGATCGAACCCCGGAACATGTGCATGGTTGGCGAGCGTCCTAACCGCTATGCCACCGACGCACAATATTGACTGTATAACTGTCAAATGTCAACCTAAACACCTATTTAAATACAAATTCATTTATATCACGAATATATATATATCACACCTTGTTGTAGCACTTCAGAATTATATATGCTTGCTGATGAATTCAATATTTTTGCTGCTGCCTCTTTTGGTAACTCCCTGTCCATAGTGACAGTTGATTTTAATTCATGTGACTGCAGCTTTCTCACAGTGATAGGTCATGAAAATGTTAATAACTTTCCCACCAGACTGGAAAATTCTCTTCATCTTGTATTCATAAATGATTCCTGAATATACAAAGCTCGTAAAAGAGCTCCACTGTTTAACTCAGATCATTGTATTGTGCGTGTTTTACCTAAAATTAATGGAAAGTTACACAAAAGAAATATTTCACACCTTTCCAAGAAAACTGTACATGGATTTTACTCTATGGAGAATGTTCAGAACCTCGTAAGCATGCTCGAGGAAACAAGGTGGGACCTGTTTAAAGAAGACTCTGTTGATGACACAATCTCTAATATTACAAGTTATCTCAAATTTTGTCTTGACACCTGTTGTCCCAGAGAAACACTCTTCGTCAGATTTGACCGTTTCTCATCACCTCAACTCAAAAGGCTTAACAGGCAAAAGGAAAAGTTATATAAAATGAAGGATAATGCTGGTTTGAAAAGAATTAACATCCTAATAAAGTCCGAAATGCACAGATTGAATTCAATTTACAACCAAAAGTTTGTGTCCTGTAAAAACGCGTCTAATATATGGAAATTTTTCAAAGAAATTACTGGTGGTAACCAGATGAACTTTATTCCTTATTCCCTTGATGTTTGCACACTAACAAGTCCTTCATACATTCTCCCACAAATTCCAAACTTTCTAGTGTTACAAGTATTAATGAAATCTGCTTCCCTGGATTTACTACAAATGATCTTCTAAAATGTCTCCAATCTATGAACCCTTCTTTTAGCCTGGGTCCGGATGGTTTGCCTAGTGTTATTCTTAAAAAGTGTGCAGATATTCTGTGCTATCCTCTCATGGACATATTTAACGAATCTTTTTCCAAAAATGTCGTGCCAGCCGTTTGGAAGGACATAAAAATTGTACCTATACTTGAGTCGTCTAGTGGAACATGTTTTAAATTTAGACCCATTGGTATTACTTCCCCTTTTTTGAAATCTATGGAAAGGTTGCTCTTACTTAATCTTCAATTTTCACTTAAAGCCTTTAACGATCCCAAACAACTCGCCTACAAACACAGTAGATGTACTTTAGATGCAGCTGCAGTCTTGTATCATAACATTGTCTCCAGTTTAGACAAGGGGGCTAAATTTGTTCGCTGCACCTTTCTAGATTATACATCTGCTTTCAACCCAGTACCTAGGGTCATTTTACTAAACAAGCTTGCTGAAACTCAAACTGACTGTTGGGTTGTCAAATGGCTCCATTCTTATTTCTCAGGAAGAAAGCAATACACTGTATGTCAGGGAAAGTTGTCCACTTAATTGCTTACTGAGGCTGGCGTCCCTCAAGGTACTGTCCTTTCCCCTTTTCCGTTTTCTTTCTTCCTGCATGACTTGCATCATTCCGATGAAATGAACTTTGTTAAGTGTGCCGATGATCTAACTATTTCAATGTCTGTTAACTCCAAGCTTAACTGCATTAGGATTAACAACTTTTTATCAGGAATTAACAAATGGTCTTTGTCTAACGGCCTTAAACTTAATCCTTCCAAATGTCAGACTGTTAATTTCAGTTTCCGATGTAAACAAAAGTTAAATGAAGCCGTTAGTTCCTACGACCCTTGCAAAATCGCTGATACTGATATAGAAACCAAGTCTGAAATTAAGTATCTTGGATTAGTTCTCTCTTCTGACCTATCTTGGTCCTCTAATGTCTTAGCGATTTCTAAAAGAATATTTCGTTTGACTTTTTACATTAAGAAGTAAAGGCATTGAGGCATAACTCAGCCCCTCCTCTTACAGTTTGTCAACTCGTGAATCTTACCTCTTCTTCTTTCCTGTTCACCCTTATTCTTTCCTGGATTGCTTAAAAAGGACTATGTCATACTTCGTCGAACTCTGAAGACTGTCAGTAGGACGAGTGGTATCCCATTGGGTCATATCATTGACATTGTCACTGATAGGCACTTGATGTCATGCAACAAATTCGCTAAAGGAATTTTGTCAGACTCTGAGCGCCCACTCTACCAGCAGCTCGAAGCTTGTGTCTCCTCAGGTAAAACAAGAAGTCTTTTCAGAAGACTTTATGCACGTACGTCTACGTATAAAAATTCCACTATACCATATTTAGCACGTACTTTATATGATGAAAATAGTGTCAGACATGAACTAACTAACTTTCTTTGCACTACTAAATAAACCATTTCCTTTACCCTTGATGCATCACTCTTTATTGTTATTGTATTTCTTATATTTATAATCCTCT